TAAAAACTGAAACACTGAGCCCAAGATACAGAAAATTATAAACTGCTTTGAGCACTGTGCTCATGAGAGTGCAGCCACCCAAGGCAAAGGCTCTTGTTTTCCACACCCTCTCTCCTCTCCCTGCACCCCTCCGCCACCACAGCGTCCAACACGGCACCTCGCTGCTGCTGGCGTGAGCTCAGTCACTGCGGGTGACAGGGGCGGCAGGTCAGGCAGGGACCCTTCTTCCCCTGAGTCAGTTCCACATATTCCTGTTTCCTAGATGGAGCAGGCCCTGCTCATGATGTCAAGTGTTCTTGGTGTCCCCTGGCTGTGCTATGTGTGTCCCTATAGAAGACACCACCAGTGCCCACAGAACCGCGAGGCTTGCCCACCCCGTCCCCGTGCGTCCTGCCTCTGAGGGGAGACCTCCGTGTGCACTGATGCATGGCCCCACTTCTATCCTTGCAGATCTTACTCTTCCTAATAGGGCAACTAGAACTTACTTTCTTTGAAGTCCTTCCTCAATGGGAAGAAATATCCCCTGTTTATTATGCATTTCTGCCAATGATTCAGAATCTACGTTCTGCTGCATCCAATCGTGTCACCTTGGGACGCCTGAATGCCTAGGGCAGGTTCCTCATGCCCCGGGGGACGGGCTCACTGCCAGCATCTCACTATAGAGCAAAACTGTTGAGAAGACTTGACTTTCTGTTTTCATAGCTTTTGACACAGAAAATAGTATAGTCTTGTAGCATTTTTAAAAGATTTCTTTTGAATGTGTCTTCAGGATCTTCCCAGTGGCTCCTGGGCTGCCAGCCTGCCCCACCTCTGTCTTCTCTTCCCCCTTCAGTGCATGCCTCCTCCTCCTCCTCCTCCTTCCGCTCCTGGTCTCCCCACCAGTTTCCTCCCCTTGAATGCCACCGTGAGCAGTTTGGCTTCCCGGCAGCCAGCAAAGAGCATTGACACACTGGTTGCCTCTGCCTCTTTCTCTGCAGCGTGGAGCTGGAATTTTCCACTGCAGCTAGAAGGGGAGAGGGCAGGAAAGGGACTTACCCCTGCAGCCTGCTCGGTCTCAGGCATTTAGCAACCTAGATCTGTTCTGCTTTAAATATCTCACCTAGCATTCAAAGCAGTTCAGAAAATAGCATCTAAATCACCTTCACGGAGCCTGAGAGGGAGAGGAGTTTCAACATCCTCCTTCCATTTTTTCAGCAAAGAAATGTGTGTTTGGGGAGGATGCACGTTTTGTCATAAGGGTGTAAACAGTTGATGGGAAAGGAAGCTTCAAGATCCTGATTCTCAGCCTCGAAGTACCCTACGGAGCCCTAAGCTCCAAAAATGGCGTGTCTTTAGGGATGGAGGCTCCCAGGGCTGCCAGCCCAAGGGCACTCGTCCATCATCTTACCAGCTGACCACTTCGTAGACCCGGACAGCTGCAAGTGCGCAAGTAAGCGCGAGCCCACGAGCGCCCTCTTGCACCCAAGTGCAGGGCCTGTGGCCTCACTGCTCAGTGTTGGCCCCAAGCCAGCCACAAAGGCAGCACCTGAGCACATGCCAGAAACACAGACCCCACCCCAGTCCAGACCTACTGCATCAGAATGCATGTTTTTAAAAGAAAAAAATCCCTGAGGAATTTATATGCAAATTAAAATCTGGGAAGCACTTACTTTATTGTACAAACTTGACAAAATTCATTTTCTCACTTAATGAGGTAGTATTATCATAACGATCCCCATTTAACATGAAACGCACTTTTTCTTTCTTCCTTTTTTGCTGTCGCATAACTGTCCCATAAAAACAGCATTACAGATAGTGCGAAGAAATCCTGCATTCTGGAGAGCGGCTAGCTGTGCAGCAGTGCCTCACGGAAGGCTGGGATCGGTTCTCCTCCTGCAAGTGCACACGGGCCTGCTTTGAGCCACCTCCTCCTGTGTCAGGTGGCATTTGTGGAGGCCACCTTCTCAGGGGCTCTCAGGACATCTGGCTGGTGTCCACCATGCGGCCAACCTGGGTCTCTCCCATTCTCTCCCAGGAAAGGAGCGGCGATCCCGCCTGAAACTCCTGCCAGGCCCTCTGCAGGCTGCTCAGGCGTCTGGCGAAATGCAGTTCGGTGTCACGACTCGTGGCCAATTCTCTGTCGTACATTTTGAAAAAAGAATGGGGTCACAGCCGTAGGAAGCCATGTTCCCCATCCCACCACGTTTGTTCTCTGATGTGTTTGATTTCGTTTTTTGTGTAATCCTTAAAAATGCTTACATTGGTCAACTGGTATTTTTTATTTGCTAGATTTCCTAAAATAAATAATCTCAGAACCCCTTCATCTATAGTGTTGTGTGAGTCTAAGAGAAATGAAGAGAACAACGAGAAGGTGTTTGCATCCCTGTAGTCAACCTTGGGGTGTTAGGATATGAACTAGCCTGGGTAATTTGATGTCTGCTGGGGTAGACAGCTTTGACCCAGCAGTGCCAGCTTGAAGCCCTTGTGAATGTGGCCCTGTCCCAGCCCCCAGGAGGCCCATGCTCTGGAGTGTCTTCCTGGAAATATTCTAAGCTCTCCTGTGATGCCCACGCACATCTGGGGCCAGCAGCACCATTCAGGAGAGACACTCAGATCTAGGCTGGGAGCGTGGGGGCCATTGTCCCATTTCTCCCCTTCAGGAGCTCTCCCATGCTGCACCTTTCACTTCTCACGTGGGTTCGGCTAGATGTGCCAGTGACTCTGAACCTCACAACTATGAATTCATCCTGGGGCCCTTCCTCACCAGGCCCGGGTCCAGGAAGGCAGCCTGGACTGTGGATTTCCCCCATTGGCCAGTGTAATATTTCCTCCATGGAATTGCATGAGATTGGGCTACTAGTGTGGTGCTGATTTGAGGTGACTTATCTCCCTAGATAGGTTGGTAGCCAGCATGCAGGAACTGACGGTACATCCTGGGTGGGCATGACCTGGGCTAGGGATGGAGGCAGGGAAGGCAGGGGGCTCCAGACAGCAAATAGTCTGGGGAAATGGGCAGGGCAGGGTGGAAGCTCCCCGAGCTTGGACTTGGAGCAAATCAGGATGCCAAGGCATCTCCCTTGCTACCCTCCACCCACCAGCCCTCCCCCCCCAGACCTCCCTGCTCCACACCTGCTGTGGACCCAGACTTGGTTGAATGAGCACCCATTGGATCAGAGTATGCTTCCAAAGGGTTTTGAGGAAAATAATAATTTTTATTGTTCTGAAAACTAATTTGGCCCTAATACTTGGAGCACAAAAAATATATTAGGCTGAAGGCTTGTAAGAAACACGAATGGGCCAGGTGTGGTGGCTCACACCTATAATCCTAGCAATTTGAGAGGCTGAGGCAGGAGGATTGCTTTAGCCCAGGAAGTTGAAGCTGCAGTGGGCTATGATCATGCCACTGTACTCCTGCCTGGGTGACAGAGAGAGATCTCATCTCAGAAAAAAAGAAAGAAAGAAAGAAAGAAAGAAAGAAAGAAAGAAAGAAAGAAAGAAAGGAAGATAAGGAAGAGGAAGGAAGGAAGAAGGAGAGGACAGAAGAAGGAAGGAAGGAAGGAAGGAAGGAAATTTTAAAAAAAAGGAAATGCAGATGGCTGTGCCTTTTCCTTGGCCTTCATCTTGGTTTTCAAGGGAGCCCAGTGTGTTGAAGATTCAGAAAATCTGTATTTGAAAAAAGAGAGCCTGTTCTGTTTGCACTGAACCACAAGGAGTAGGATACAGCATGAAATCTTTTGGATTTCATGGAAGACAATTTTTCCACGGACCACGGGGAGAGTGGGGATGGTTTCTGGATGGTTCAAGCACATTACCTTTATTGTGCAAACCTCTCTGCTAATGAAAATCTGCATTTGCAGCCGCTCCCCAGCACTAGCATCACCACCTCAGCTCCACCTCAGACCATCAGGCATTCGAGTCTCATAAGGAGTGGGCAACCTAGGTCCCTCGCATGTGCAGTTTACATAGAGTTCATGCTTCTATGAGAATCTAATGCCCCCGCTGATCTGACAGGAGGCGGGGCTCAGGTGGTGATGCGAGTGATGGCGAACAGCTGTAAATACAGATGAAGCTTCGCTCTCACTTGCCTGCCACTCACCTCCAGCTGTGTGTGGCCCACTTGCCAGCAGGCCGCGGACCAGTACTAGTCCATGGCCTGGGGGTTGGGCACCGCAGGGGTACAGGATAAGGTAGAGGGACCAGATGGTTGCAACAGCAAGGACTGGTGGCTTGGAAACAATGTAGATTTTGAAGTCCCAGAATATTTTGCACCATTAATTTCAAGTTTTACAAGTACCTAAGAGCGAATCCACCAGAGTTCTCCACAGTCAGGTATTAAATCCATGAGGCTGTTCTAGTAACTGCAGATCCAGCCTTTGTGGCAATAACTTTTATTTTATGTTGGCAAATATTTGCTGAGCACCTGTTAAGTCACAGTCAGGAGGTCCTTCCTCATTCCCTCATTCCTTCCCCACCTTCCCCACCACAGGTGGAAATTGCACCAGCTGGTTTGCACTTATTTATATTAAAGTATAAAATGTTTACTTATTGTGCTGCAAGTAGTTAGTATTTGTATTCTGTATATGAAGGCATTTCTACATGGTGAAGAATTAAGATGATGTCAATAGTAACATATCCTAAATTTATTTTATATTTTATTATATTATTGATCATGGCAATTCTCTTTTAAAATATCAAAGTTTAGTAATGTGCTGGGGTATTTATCATGTACTTAGTTAATCCTCATAATAATCATATAAGAATAATGATATCTCTTTCTTACCAAATGACTTTGACAAAAGTCAAAGTGATGAGGCCAAAAATACATGGTCCAAGACTCAAGCAGAGTTTCTCCCTTCATTTACCGTACTTCTTGGCCGACACGGTGACTTTGACTAGCTGTTCAAACCCCATTATCTCAGCCTTACCTATCCCTTCTCCTAAATCTCTAGACGTGAACACAGTTCTGTTCCTGGCGTCACAGTTTCTTGATTATTTCCTTTCTGTTTGTTTTCTCCCAGAAGGCCAGGGCTTTGTCAGTGAGGATGAATACCTGGAAATCTCCGACATCAAACGGGACCAGTCCGGGGAGTATGAATGCAGCGCCTTGAATGACGTGGCCGCCCCGGACGTGCGGAAAGTGAAAGTCACTGTCAACTGTGAGTTGCCCTCGGCCAGGGAGTTCCAGGGGAGAAGGGGGGTGTGGGGATTAAGGGGACAAGCTGGTGACGGCAGCGCCATTTTCGGAAAGGCCCGAGTTGCTGCCAACAGGAAGACACTTTGTCAGATTGCTTTGCCCCGACATTGCCTCCAGTGCCTTTGTCCTCGGAGTCTTCCTGTGCCTTCAGAGCTTTTGGTGAGTGGAGAGAATTGTTAACTTAGAATTGCTTTGAAGGCCTGCAGAAGATGTCGGGGTAAATGCAATATCTTTAGGCAGCTTCTTTTCCTAAAGATAAAATAAATGGTTATTTTCTGGGGACAAAGGGTTGTCACAAGACATCCATTTACAGAGTAAGTGGCTGAATATGTCCTTCATCTCTTTCACGGGATCACCTGCATGCTGGGTTTTCCCACAGATCCTCCCTACATATCAAAAGCCAAGAACACGGGCGTGTCGGTGGGTCAGAAGGGCACCCTCAGCTGCGAGGCCTCCGCGGTCCCCATGGCGGAATTCCAGTGGTTCAAGGAGGATGCCAGGTACCTTGGAATGGGACGAAGGGGCTCTGAAGGATCATCCCCCACAGGGAAGGGGGAGGATGAAGTAAAAGGGGAAGATATGGCAAAAGAAGCATGCACCGCAGCCTCCTTTGTAACAGAATGTCCTTGTAGAACCAGAAAAAAAATGGAGGAAGCTGAGAACTGAACAAAATGAACTGACCTTTGTCGGAATCTGGGATTAGCTGTAGACATGTCTGTCTTCAGCGACTGGAAGCAGCGAGTGTAGTCTGTTGGGCATGGCGGTTCTGCACTTCCTCCTGAGGGAGGCTGTGGTACTTAGGGTTTGCGTTAGAGGGACTGGGTTACTCAGAGAAGAGGGTTTTGCGAGGAGGAGGAGGAGGGTCTCCTTGTAGGATTACTCTGTGCTGTCTTTGGGTCGCCCCAGTGCCCTCTGCCTGCAGTCCAGTGTGAGTGCAGAACCAGACTGCGGTGCCTTCTCTGTTGCAGGTTAGCCACCGGCCTGGACGGAGTGCGGATTGAGAATAAAGGCCACATGTCCACTCTGACGTTCTTCAATGTTTCAGAAAAGGATTATGGGAACTATACCTGTGTGGCCACAAACAAGCTTGGGAACACCAACGCCAGCATCACATTGTATGGTGAGTGCAGGACGCCTGGATGCAGGGGCTCCGTCACCTGTGGGAGCCGCCGGGACCCCGGAGGGAGGAAGGCACGAACTGCCTGGCCTGTGTCCATCCATCCTGCTCAACCCACCGCCCTTAGATAAGAAGTACTTCTCCCTGCCGTTCCCCTGGCATGCGATGCAGTGCAGTTTACTGGGTAATTAATATCTCCTGGTCATTGAAAGGCAGGGTTTGCCCTTACGAAAGGAGTGGGCCAATTTACGAATCAAGTTGAATGGGGGTTGCATAAAGAAGATAGACCCATGGGTCAGATCAATTGTAGTACTATCTAAAGTTCTTTGGGGACAAATGAGATATTATTTTAGCACGCCTTCCATAGTAAGAATCTATGATTCTAGAGGTTATATGCATAGGTTTAAGCCAACTCAACTGCTGCCGGCATGATTCTCATGTGGATCACATGTCATGTTCTCATTCATTGGAAGAATGGAGCAGCAGTCTGAGACCTCATCAGATGATTGTTCTATCCACAACCAGAGCACCAAACCTCTCAGTAGGTCTTTCCCTCCCATATGGGTGGAGAGGTCCCAGGAGCCGTGGTTGGCCCCTTAGCAGCACTGACCTCGCCCTCGCTTCAGCTTCCCACACTGCTATGTCATGTCCTTGTGCAACATGTCACACCAGGGGCTGAGGCCAGCTTGTTGTGATATTTTATGTGTGTGTGTGTTTGTTTACTTGCCGAGGTCTAGTTGGAGGGAAGCATCTGATGAGCAGGATGAAGAGGTATCCCCTTTTCCACATGCACCTCAGACCCTGAACAAGCTTCAGCATTGACATGAACTAAACTTTGTCCACCAACCATCTGAAATGTGTGATCTATGTCTTTTGTTTCCTCTCTGCATTGTGTGTGCATTGTGCTGTGTGTGTCTTAGAAATAAGCCCCTCATCAGCAGTGGCAGGTGGGTACAGCATGTTCCTTCCTTCCTCTGCCTGCCTGAATGCCTGTGCTTTTGAATTTCAGCCTACTTCAAAGATAGGCTTGCCTGCTTCACCTCCCTGATTTATTTCTCTGTAGTGCATAGACTTCAAGGGGCTTGGTTTGCACTGTTTAGGTAGCAAGCATGTAGAATATGATGGCTTTCACATGCACACTTATAGAATGTCATTGTAGGTTTCAGGGGAAGGAGCTTTTGCCCCCAAAACAATAAACTTCTACTTGGTTGCCTTTAAAAAGGATGAACATTCTGCTATTTCTGCACACGGCAATACCAAGAGCAACCCGGCCCAGAGATCAAATGGATTATTAGATGACTGTCTCCGTGGAGAAGTCACCCTAGTATGAATGTTTTATTCTTTTAGCCCAAGGCAAAGAGGGCTAATGACTAGTTCTAAAATTTTATTTTAAGATAGAAGTACTTGGGGTCATTATTCATAATGGTAATATCTACTATTTACCAAATGTTTACTGGTTTCTAGGCATCATGTCATGCTTTGCAAGACAGGTTATTAACCCCATTTTATAGATAAGTAGAAGGAGGACCAAAGAGCTTGAATAACACTGAAGTCCATATAGCTAATAGATGCGCGCGCACACACACACACACACATACACTCCCTCATGCATTTAGATGAAGCAGCAGCTGGTGCTCAGCTCTGCTTCCAGAGGGGGAAGACACCCAGCCCTACTATTCTAAGACGTCAATCTCAGCCACATGCAAAGTGATGACATTTGAATTTTCTGGACCTGGAATCAGCTCTGCAACTGTCACTTTTCATAGCTCCTGACCCAGGACACTCACAGACATATAGCCCTGACCACATTCTGCTGCCTGGGAACACCCATCCCTTGGTTGATAGAACTGGGAGGAAAGGGTGGGATGAGGTGCCACCCTGCCACTGACCTGCCATTACCCCCTGGTTAGTGGGGTTGGCAGTGCAGGACATACAGCCGATAGAAGGGCCTAGGACTGACAACCATGTGACCCTTCCTGTCCCTCTCTGCCATTAACTAAAGAAAGAAGTGTGACATAGTGACAGAAGTGCACACCAAGACTGCCTTAGTCTGCTCAAGTTTCCATCACAAAATACCAGATTGGATTACCTAAACAACAGACATTTATTATTTCACAGTTCTGGAGTCTGGTAGTCCAAGATGCAGGTTTTGGTCAATTCAGTTTTGGGGAGTGCCCGATTCCCGGCTGTGGATAGCCGCTATTTTCTCACGTGGCCTTTCTCCTGAGTGCTCATGGGGAGAAAGAAAGAGAGAGAGGGAGTCTAGCATCTCTTTTGGTAAGGACACTAATTATATTGACTCAAGGCCCCACCCTTATGACCTCATTTAACCTTACTTATCTCCTTATAGTTTCCAACTGCAAGTACAGCCATACCGGGGCTTAGGGCTTCATCATAAGCGTTTGGTATGGGGGAAGCAACTGAGTCCATAGCAAAGACATAGATTCACATCCCAATTCAAGCACATGTCAGTCACTTAAACTCGCTGAGCTTCCTTTCCTCGTATATGCTATTGCCATGTTAACACCTCCCTTGAAAAGCTGGCGAGAGGATTGAATAAGGTCATCCATGTAAATAGTCCCATAAATGCTACGTTCAGATGTGTGACTTTGACAACAAAGGCTGCAAGCCTCAGTGTACTTGGCTGAATGGGATGACATTTCCTGGCCTGCTAACATAAGAGTGTCGTGAATTATCAATAAGATGGCCATCAAAGTGGTATGACTTGTGTACACGCCAGGTACTCTGATTCCTACTGGCACCTGCCAGCACTTGTTGTGACATGGCCCATCCCCTCCCCCTTCCCTCTACGTGCCCGCCAGAGTCAGGCTCCAGTGGACTGCCTTCCTGTCCTCCAGTGTGCCCTGCACCCTGTCCTCCAGTGTGCCCTGCACCCTGTCACCACGGCACCCGCCCACCCCAGTGATTCTCCCTACCTCGCCTCACCTGGTCAGCGCCCACTCGCCTCTCAGCATCCCTTCCTGCAGGACGCCTTTCCTGACCTCTCCGAGTAGATCAGCTCACCCACTATGCGTCCTCTCACACCTCCTTTCTGGCTGCCACGCTCGTGCAGTGCACTGATGAGCGTTCATTTAGCAAATACGCGTTCAGGACCTGTTGCAAGCCAGGCACTGTCCTAAGTGATAAGGAGACAGCAGTGGCTCAACAGATAGACTGCTAGCTTCTATAGACTTTACCTTCTCATTGCAACTTTGCTTTTGTTCTATTTATTTAGTTTGCTTCATTAGAGTGTTTCTTCCTCCTTAGCCAGTGAGCTCCATGAACACAGGGACCATGTCTTGTTCGACACCTAGGCCCTAGGTAGGGGTCCACACACACAGCAGCTGGCCAGCAAAACTTTGAGGAATGGACGGATGCAGGAATACACGTGGAGACAGAAGGTGATATTGGTGATACCCACAGTTCAGCCACCAGGAATTGAAAAGTGAGGGAATAGAGTAAGGGACACTGTGTCTCAGAGGGTCCTGGAGGCCAGGCTGTGCTGCTCACTGGCTGAATGGCTTTGAGAAAGTCAATCTCAGTGGAGCTTGTCTTTTTTTTTTTTTTTTTTAGATCAGTTGAAGGCATTCTGATTAGATGTTTTCTGTGGTACCCACAAAGCCTAGTTCTGTGATACTATGAGTGGCAGTAGCTTCAGCCCAGGGTCAGAGTGCTAGCTAGTGTCCAGTGACCTGCCCTTTCTGCTGGCCATGAATGCTCTTCCTAGTGCCCAATGCCCCCATAATTATGGCTAATAATTACCTACCACTTGCTGTACATGGGGCCACTAGGCTAAGTGCTTTACATGTTTATCTCCCCTAGTAACTCTATGAAGTAAGCACTATATTTATCCCAATTTTACACATAGGAAATTGAGAAGTTAGCTCAAATCACACTGGCTTATCTGTGCTTGAGCTGGGATTTGAACCTATGGTCTCCAATTCCAGTGCCGGAGTGCTTTGCCCCGATTTCAGTCCAACTTACAATGCTTGGTAAACCATCATGGATATTGTGGACAACCTTCTCAATAAAGCCTCCTATCAACAGTTGGTCTGCTTGAACCCATCTCCCACACCAATGTCCCCAATTCTAGCTTTCTACCTCTAAGCTCATTCTTTTAAAGGACAATTTTTTTTTTTTTTTTACATTTCCAATCCCTAGACTCATACTTTCCAAACACATGCACCCCATCTGGGGGGTGTGTTTGTGCTTATGCTCACAGATTGTCAGTCTGTGTTTTGAGAACCCCCTTTGACTCTGCCCCTGTGACCCTTCACAGCATGCCTCTCTCTCACACACACCTCTTTGGAATATTTCCACGCCTACATGCAAAGAACAAAGAAAAATGGGATAAAAGCAATTTCAAAAGAATACAGAAGACAAAGACCATGGAGACAATGGGTTGGTGAATGAGTTGGAACAGGAAATGATTAGGAGACATGTGAGAGACTGCATGGTGGGTGGGTGGTCTTCAAAGATGAACGGGTGGTTGGCATCCATGGGAAAAGCTTCTTCCTCATCACACCGGTTGCCTTCCCCTCCCAGAGCCACAAGGACAGGGTGGGCACTTGGCAGAGCTCCAACTGAGCAGCATGTTAGACCACCCACTGTCCCCAGCCCCAGGGGACTGCAGCGGCAGGAGGCGGAGCAGAGCCCAACACCCCCCACAGCTCAGAGCACAGACAAAGCCATGACTGTGCTGCCTGGTTGTAAGAGTTTATTTAAAGCGAATTGCATAGTTAATTGTGTTTTAAAAATATAAATAATGGAAGTGAAAATAACATAGAAATAAGGTATTCATCAAAATCTGGAAAAAAATAAAGATAAAAATCCAGAATGAGAGGAACACACAACTTATTTCCAGCTTTCCGAGGCTCTGTTCTGAATTTGAGAAACAGTAAGAAAATAGGGTGAGGGACAGAAAGCAATCGTCTGTAACCTTGGACATGGTGGCAAGCGCCCTGCGCTGTTGGAAAGCAGCTTGCTCCACGTTTCCGTTAGCTTTATGAGTGGATGCGGCCATTTGAAGGCCCACCTGGAGCCCTGGCGCCTTGAAGCCTTGCCAGGCCTGCGTGCAGGGGTGGCGGGGCTCAGCTTGCTGGCCGCAGCTCTGTCCCTGGAGGAGGTCATTCGCTTCCTCTCAACTTGCCAGCCCACGTTGCCTGCTCTGGGCCTTGAGCAAGAGACCCCATCCCCCGTCCTTAGCCTGCAGAGAGGGAAGATTCTGGACTTGATTACATCCTGCGCCGCAGAGAGCGCGATGCGCTTAATGAGGCATATAAACGCCTGGATTACTGGAACTGGCAGGGGAAAGGGACAGAGAAGGCAAACAAAGCCAAAAAGGAGGGGGGATGCTGCAGAGAGAAAAACAGATTTCTCACATTTTATCTGTGAAATTGGAGCGACACAAATTAGTTACATTAAGAGTTAAGTATCAGGCGTAGGGACAATTCATAGGAATCTTGTCACTGCAAGTGAAAAAGGCAAAATACTCCAGTTAAGGCAACATCTGGGCTCTGGGTTTCCTGAGGCAAAGCCTCAGCCCCCTCGGAGCAGCCTGGGCTGCAGACAACCTCGGTGGCTCCTGGAAGCCATGAGCACAGAATCTGTATCTTCCTCTGCTAATGGCCATTTCTCCAGAATAAATACACCCGTCACACCGGCTCTGTGAACCTGGTCTCCTCCAGCCAGAGCCTGCGCCAACCCGCTGCTCTCATCCTCTGCTGCACGACTGGCCTCCCTGCGCCCCACCAATGCCCGTGGGCACAGCCGTCCACGCCCACGTCCCACAACACCTGCCTCCACCTTCACCTGCCAACCCTTTATTAAGGCATCCTAACAAACACACCTTTCCCCAGGGGGCTCCTGCTGGGACACGAAGAGTGGGCACAAGGGATGGAGGATGCTCTGCAGTACGCCCTCCACGCACCATCCCATGCCTGCTCTTCCCTTCACCCCCACGCCTCTAAAAGGTTCAGCCAGCATTGTCCCCACTTCCTCACGAGCCCACTGATGCCTCAGCCTACTGCTATATCTCCCTCTAGCAGCCCCTCCTCTCAGTGCCAGGCTCCTTGTACCCTCATGCCCCACTTCCGGCTTCTGTGCTCAGGTGGTGACTTTCTTCTTACCTTCCTATCTCAGTCCCCTTCTGGCTCCTCTATCACCTGCTCCAGCAGTCCCCCAAGGAGTAGGGTTCCAGAAAGAGGAAAAGGGGTCCTCCATATCTTTAAGCATCATACAGAGCAGTGTTTCTTGGCCTGCTTTAGATTTCTTTAGGATGCTTTAAAAATGCAGATTCATAAGCCTTGCCCTAGTCCCATTGAATCAAAATCTCTAGGGAAGGTCCTGAGAATGTGCTTTTTAAGCAAGCTCTCCCAGGGAATCTTACCCACACTGAAGATTGATGGCCTCTGAGCACTAGTCTGATCTCTCCTGCATCTATATCTTTAGTTCTCCCTTGAATGCTAAGCTACAAACCACATTCCCTACCTGAATATTCCACAGGATTCTCAAACTCATTCTTTTGTTCCTGGGAACCTCTCCCCCTCCAGCGTATGCCTTGCCCCTCACCTGCGCACGCTCACTGGGATCCCTACGGTCATTTGTGGCCTCTTGCTCTCCCTCAGCCTGTACCTCTGTGAGTCAGTGAGTCTTAGCAAGCACACCTTTCCTCCGACTGTGGCGTGCATCTCACCTGGACAGTTGGGGTATCTCTCCCCTGTCTTCGATAATCCCTCTCCAATCTGTTTGCCCCAACAGGGCCAAGTGACATTTCTGAAACTCAGAATAGACCTTGTCCTTTCAGTTACAGAAGACATGGCTACCAGGACAGCATGGCACTAAGGCTGCTCTCACTGTGAGGTCAGCCTGCCCTTCTAGCTCCCCTGCCTCCAGCAGGCTGCCCCCTGAGTCCCAGATGCCTTCACATATCTAAGTCTTTGACCACGCTGCTCCTACTCCCCACCCATCCACCCTTCACTCATCCAGTCATAGGTATTTGTTTAGTGCATTCTTATATGCAAGGAATTATACTAAGGACTGACGGACAAGGAGAAACAGAGTTTCTGATCTTGTACAAACAAGTAAATAGGCAATTACACAGAAGCCATCAGCTATTAAGTTTCAGCCACACATGGCTTTAGACGCCTAAGAATCCTTTGAGATAAATATCGTTATTATTTCCATTTCACACAAGAAGAGCCCAGAGCTCTGAGAATTTAAGTGATGTGACTGCACCCCCCCACACACACCAGAGAGAAGGAATCCCACCATAGACAGAAGTGGCAGTACCAGTTTTTGCACCCAGGTTTGTCTGACTTTAATCCCAGGTTTCTTTCTGAGCCATGTGTATGCTGTCTCTTGCAGTGGCTCGAGGGTCACAGATGTAGTCTTTTGCCCTCTTCTCTGCCTGATAAAATCATACTCATCCTTCAAAGCTCTACTCAGTGGCACCCCATGTGCAGAGCATTTGTGAACCCCACTGGAGAATCAATCCTTCATCTTTTGGGCTGTCGTGCTGGCTCCCCCTGAGGCTTGCATTTTGTTTGTATTTGTTTCTGCACTTAGAGGACATAACACTGTATCTTGCAATGGTTGCTGCCCAGTAAATGTGTGTGGAATTAATAACTCTATCTTCTAGTCAACAGGGGCATCAGTTATAGCCTCTGCACAGTTTGAGACCCTTCACTAACCAAATAGAAACCAAATACTCAAAAGGACTTGCAGTCCTCTCCCCTCAGGGAAGTCAAATTGCTGTTTCTCTGGCTTTCCTTTTCATTCCAGCCTCTCCCATGTCCAATTCTAATTTGAAATTTAGGGCACACCCCCATCTTTCTTGTGAGGCAAGCTACATCAGACATTCCAATTCACTGTTTGGGAAGACGTTCATCACATGATTTCTTCTTGCGAAGACATCAAAAGCAGCATGTATTTGTCCATTTCCTGCTGATAATGTGTATGATTTTTATTTTTCAAATCCACGATGTAAATCCAGGTGGGAGGGAATGAGTCAGAGAGAAACACCATCGCTTTTGGCTGATGACAGCAGAGTAATCATTTGTATTTTCCCCAACCTGCAAAATGTCAACATATTAGAAAAAAAAATATGCAGACATTTCCCATTTCATTCCTGATGAGGTTCCTTGTCACTCACCCACACCCCACCCTCCTGTCTGAATCACTGACATCTGGCTATTAGCCTGAGCATTTAGAATTTAACACGGAGCGTTCAGGGTGTGCTGAAGTCAGCACAGGCGCGAGACTATGGTTCAGCATAGACTAAACTCTTGTCTCTTTCTGGTCTGTGATGAGCTGACAGATTTGAATTAACTTCTGATATTAACTTCTTAAGCTTTGTTTTTGCAGTAAGCACAAAACAGGAAGTGTTAACAGAACACAACAAAGATGGTTGTTGTGTTTGTCTCTTTCTCTGCTCTTCTTAGTCGGGCTGGCTGCAAAGCCAGTTAATCTTTCTTGTGAAACAACGCAGTGCTGTATTTTCCACTGTAATTAAAGACAATGGAGGAAAAGTTCCCTTTGAAGGGAAACGATGTGCCTTCATCAGCTGGCTCTGCTGAAAATAGGTTTATGTTTCGCCAACAAGTATAACACATACATCCTCTAATTAGATTTCCTTGCTCTTCTTTTAATCACCAAGAACATCATTATCCTTTTGGTTCCTCATTAGGAAGGTCACATAGTTCATAATCATACTTAGAAAACCTGTCCAAATTTCAGAACAAAACTGTATCTTCTCAGGCTTCAGATGTTTCATTGATCTCACTGTGCTATCAACAAGTTCGACTTGCCTGTGGGTTTTTTCTTTTCTTTTCCTTTCTAATGCTATCACCCTACCACCTGCCATTTTTAGTAGAATTAGAGCTATGCAGTCTACTGTTGTTGAAAAACCATGCCATATTTTCATCACAACCATAGAAAGAAAAATGAGCAACACATTCCAATACCTTCATCTCTTGTAATGTACCCCGCATTTTTAGGCTTCAAAATCTCTCACGAGGCAGGATCACATAATGAAGCTTCTGTATTTTCTGGGAGCTTTGTTCTGAGTTTGGATACTGTGATTGTCAACACCTGCCACTCAAGGGGGTGATGAGCCTCCCCTGAATGCAACAGCGCATGCTCAGTTGCAGGGTGGCTAGGCTTGACGTCTCCAGTTCTTATTTTGTAGGCACGGATTAATTCTATTTTAAGTCCTCAACCAAATTTGCTTTTTAAAAATCGAATGTTTAGTATATTTAATTCACCAAGATAGGCAGCCTTTCAGAAGTAGAGTTTATTTGTTCGTTTGTTTGTTTATTATTTGTCTGATCTCTGTGGAGTTTCACTCCTACCCAAGAGGTCCTCCTCTGAGCAACTGTATTCTTGCTGCACGCACCAATTGGCCTCTGTGCCATTTCTATAGCTTGTCTCCTGACCATTTCAGCCTTTCTCTCTCTCTCTCTTTGTCTGTCTCTCTCTGTCTCTCTCTCTCTCTCTCCACTATATTCTGAAGGCTAACTTATTTTTGTCTGTATTCTGTCCTCAAAGCGTTTTGTTATTGTCATTATTGTAATTTAGAGATTGTTTTGTGGCTTTGCATCCTCATTTCAGCTTTTATTTTCAAAGATGCTCAACACTAGGCATGCAGGAAGCCTCCTTTTGAGCACTTGGAAGGGTGAGGGAGGAGGGACTGGAGCAAGGAAAAAGGCCATGATTACCTGCTCTCACTTTCAATTTAGCCTGGAAAAATATTTAGTTAAGTCTGATATTTGTAGCAGCCATTCTAGTTGAATTTAGTCATTGTTAATCATAAACAGAGAAAGATTCCTTAAATGTGGCATTTGCCCAGAGAAAGAATTGGGCTTTTAAATACACTTCCTCAGGATAACTGGCCTTTCTTAGGAAGCTTTTATCCATGGTTAACAGCCACCTCAGGTCTTTCCAGAAGGGACCGGGTTACTCACTCACCAGCCATGGCCACCTGCGCTTTCAGCCAGTGTTTGACAGTAATTCTGAGAACCTGGTATTCCGGAGGGTCTCCCTTTCCACAGTAGGATCCTTACACGAGACGCTGTTAATATTTTAGAGATCAGCAATTCTTGTCCTGGTTCTAATTCACCTGATATTTATTCATCCTTTACTCTACACTTGGCTACTTTACACGCCATCTTACCCAACCCTCAGAGCAATACTGAGGTAAATAAACCTACCCCTTCCCCATTTTACACATTAAAAAAAGAACTGTTTCAGAGAAGCTGACTGTCTTGTCTGAAGTCTTCTTACCAGTGGGTTGCACAGCCAGAATTCAAATTCAGTTTTGACTCTTAAATTCAATCTTCTTAAGACTATCCAACAGGCAGGATGTTCCCGAGATGAAGGGGATTTGGGGTTATTTGTTCCAAATGGCTTTCTTCCCAGAATCTGTGACAGTTTAAAAATATATTTGTCTGTTTGCTTGTTTGTTTATTTATCTGGACCAGGACAGAGGATATGCTAGCTCCTTCTGGAATAGAAGCTGTTTGAAAGTAGAGACTGTGTCTGTCTGTCTGTCTTTCTGAAAGCAGAGCCTGACACACGGCAGGCACCCAGTAAATATTGTCGAATGGCTGTGACTCCTTGGGGCTGGCTTGGGGTCTGCTTCCTTCACAGGATGACTCTCCGCCTTTGGACCTAGCCAGGAGGTTGGCGCTGGCCCTCCCCCAGCGCACTTGCCAATGCTCCACCTCCCCGAGCCCTGCCGCCTCTGGTCTCTCTCAGCAGCAAACACTCTCCTTTAAACCATCTCACCTCTTCCCTCACACTCCACCAAAATCGCACCCGGGCTTCAGTGTATTTAGAAAAGATCTAAATAAGCCACTATTCAGCTCAACTACGAACTGGGAGGGAGGGCTATGGAACCCCCAGTCGGTGGGAGCAGTTGCCGTGATCACATGACTGCTTTGGGCCAGGCACTGCACTCATCACGTTAATCCTTTAACTAATCCTGTGGACTCAGAGTTATTAGCCCTGTTTTCAGTGAGAAATCTGAAAGTACCTCATCTAGGATCACAGAGCTGCCAAACCACAGGTCAGGATTTAAATCCAAATTGGTCAGACTCCATAGTTGCTAGGACCAGCTGCACTTTTGCCAGTGACATTATCCCAAAGGATGACGTTATTCCAGACTAGGTGCACGGCCGAGGAGGTGGCGGAGCACAGAGACCTTCCCTGAGGTCCCTAGTAGATGGTTTCCCACCTGCACTTCCAGAAATCCTGCTCCTTGGTCTTTGCTTCAAACTCTTGGCCTTTATCTAGGTGTTCTGCAGGGTCAGTTTTCTGGAGTGGAACACGTAATTGAAAATCTACCTTCCATTTCCGAATCTTGGATTCTAGGTTTTGGATGAGAAACTACTTTTCTCCCTATTTCCACCAAAATGAAAATGAATACACCATTTGAATTCCTACCTCTATTTATTGAAATTAAAACTGGTATCATTTTGGGTGTCAGTACCTGGAGAAGTCCACGCTGTAGGAAAGTAGTATTCAGCCCGACTCTGGAGTGGTGTGCTGCAGGCTTGGTGCCCGTGCTGCTGAGCGCAGGGGGAGACTTTCAACACCGTGTCCCCCCTCGAGACACGGGGAGCCCTGCATGTTCATTCAACTCACATTTGCAAAGGCCTCCTGACAGCCTAGGGGACCAAGTATGAGCCCCGAGATGACATGGGACCACACCAAATTAAACTACAGCAACCTATCACCTCCATATTAAATCTCAGAGAAGCATCTGGCCCAGCCTGGCAGAACACGCCCAAGCCAGATGCTTCCTTTTACTCATTTCTAGTCGGGGAAGGTTACTGTAAGGATGCAATTAAATAATCAGGTCATTGCCGATGATTTTTGTCTCACACTCTTCCAACCTAGAGAGTGGTACATAGATGTGAGCCCCTCCTCCTGCTTCTAATAAAGCCGAGAGCCCTCCGGGGAGCCCTGCTGCGCTGGCATTTGGCCCGTCTGCCTCATCTCCCGTGTGTCCAGGACCTGACGGACGAAAGCGGTGCTAGCTTTCATCTCTGTCGTAGTGGATTGGATGAATTCTCTGGCCACAATAGCCCGGCCATTTCTCATACACCAATTGACCAAAGGCACGTTGGCAGCAAATGGCCATATCACCTGACACTGCAATGCAGGTGCTCGTTATACCTGCTAAAGAATAAAATTCCCTGAAGCTGCATAGAAAATGGGGCCCGACAGGGAAACTCTGGGATCCAGGAAGGTTCAGCGCCCTCTTGGGGAGGTCTCAGGAGGAGGGTGCCTGCAGGAGGCAAGAGCTGGAGTGATGATGTTTCTGTCACCTGGAGAAGGCTGCCCGGCTGCTCAGCAGCTGTCCGGTCCACTACCAGATGCGGTTCCTCCTCTTGCGATAACTCAGAGCACCGACAGGCAAAGAGCCCTAGACTAGCCTGTCACACCTCCTCTCCCAGAGAACCCAGGCCCAGAGAGGCGATGCCACTTAGCTAGGGAGCCGCTGAGCCACACAGAGAAGGTGGGCTCTCGGCCATGTGTCCTCCTGCCCCATGACGCGGTGGACACTGGGAAACACGCACAAATGGCCACTTTCCATAGAGAGGAAGTAGAGCTGTGAGAATCAAGAACACGGACTCTGGGGATGAGGACTTGGCTCTAATCTAGTTCGAGGCCATATAAGTTGTGTGGCCACAGGCAAGGTGTTTACATGCTCTGATGCTCTGCTCCTACTTTCCCCGTTCACACAGTGGAGATGACAATAGGAGGACATCCCTCGCCGGGTCGATGTGATGGCTAAACGAGTTAATATGTGTTTAGCATTGAGAATCATGCTTGCCACGTAACAGCACAATGTAAATGGTCGCCACCCTCGGCAAGCTGAGTGGCCTGTGTGTCTGCTAAGGCCCCTGACAGCTTCCACTCTTGGGAACGCTGCACAGCACCCGAGTGGGCTGTGAAGCAGGCGTCCTCGAACTGCGGCCCGCGGGCCACATGCGGGTGTTTATGCCCCGTTTGTTTTTTTTTTACTTCAAAATAAGATATGTGCAGTGTGCATAGGAATTTGTTCATTGTTTTTTTTAAATTATAGTCCGGCCCTCCAACGGTCTGAGGGACAGTGAACTGGCCCCCTGTTTAAAAAAGTTTGAGGACCCCTGCTGTAAGCCCTCTGCCCAGTAAGCATCGGGTATTTTATGGCAACTGCTGCTCGCCACCGGAAACGCTCATTTCTCTTCAGGATTTTGCCTCTTTCTCTCGCCAAGCTCATTCTTTCATGCTTTGCTTTCCATATATACGTCTCCTCTCCTCTTTGCTTTAGCTATAGCCAACCTTATGCCGATGGCACGACACCCACAGAAATGCTTAAGTCCACTGGTGGAACTTGGAATAAAATGATCCCTACACTAGAAACGGTTATCTGAGTGGAGCACATTAGGGCTTCAGTTGTTTCTTAAGTCAATATCAACATAGTAAATTAAATAAAGACATATATACACATACATATATGTACATATACAACTAGTATAATATATGTGTCATAATGTCATATATAATGAAAGATACTTTTAAGGAAAAATGTATACATATGTAAAATACATTTAAAGAAACATATTAAAGAAACATATGGGCCTAAAGAATCTACATAGCTCATTTCCTTATAAATGTACTTAAAAATATAAAATCATTCATCTTTTGCAGAAGATAATATATAGAGAATTACCTTGAGCTTCAACTTGAGCATTTTCCAACTCAGTAAATTCTATAGCCAGTATGATCCTTAGGATGTGTGTTGGGACAGCTAAGGCCCCAGAATCAGGCTACTGTCCATAAATATTAATATTATGGAGACTTCATGGGGACCATGACACTAAGCTAGAACCTGGATCCTGCCCTTGTTTGTGAATATTCTATAATGAAAATGCAGAGTAATATGAATCAGACTTCAAGCTATCAAGTAAACATGACTTTGTAGTCCATAAGACCATGCACATTGTAAATTAGGGGAAGAAAAGACATCCATGTTAAAATTCCTGGGGTAGGAGCAGTCGTATGCTCATTGCTGGATTGAGAGACCTGAACGTCCCAAAACAAAATGTCCCTTCCTAGGCAAAGTGTGGATATGTGCTATAAAGCTGATAGAACCAAATGAACTAACCCTGCCCAAGGAGATTCTGCAGCACCTCAGCTTCTGAAAGGAGTCACGCTTGTGTCCAGCAGGCCAGTTTGCTTCCCAAAGAGGCTGTGAGGTCCCGGCTTAAGACCGTGGAAGGAGCACACTGTCTTGTCTGCATCCCCTTCCCTTGTCACTGGTCTTACAGAAATGTCTCTCACTGGCTTTTAATCCCATGGCAATACTCAGTTGTGCTTTGTCTGGACACACTTGCTTGCTAGCTGTGGGTCTTGGTGAACATCCTAGCATTTGCTGATAAAGGTGATGGTGGAGCACAGAGGCTGAGTTAGACACGCCCACCTGGGCCCTCGCAGCCGGCTGGGGCAATCCCAAATCCTGCGCTCTGTCTTCCTGACGCCCGGCAGACGCGGGGAAAGGAACAGCACCTGTGATTCTGTGGGCCAATTTCCCAGTGGAACTTGAACGATTTATAGGGATGTGGGAAAGGGCCAGGGAGAGAGGGAAGCAGCGAGAAAACACAAAGGGAGAGCCCCTTGAGGCCGAATCACCGGGTGGCAGTCTGTGCTGGGAATGCCGGGCCTGTTCTGCGGCCTTGTCAGGGCACTGCTGAGCCGACGGCTGGGTAAGCCCAGCCACAGCCCAAAAACTCGTGAGGGCGATTGTTCGTCCTTCCTCGGCTGGGCAGGAGGAGCCTCCACGATACCTAAGTCACACACCCCGGGGGTGGACAGGGCCACATCAACACTGACTTCCGCTGCACACAAAACATCCCCGTCCCTCTCCTTTCTTCCCCTACACCTGCTTCTCGCCCTCTGGACCCCTCCTGCCCCCATGCCTACCCTGTCCCGCTCGTCCCTGCCTGCACTCGACACTCTGCAGGGACAGAGCACAGTTAGAGACACTGCCCATGACACAGCCCTCAGGTCCTGCCTTCACACCGAGCCCTGTTTGCTCCTTTTGCCCTTTGGGCCTCCCCCACTGCCCTCAGCTCCCCACTGAGGAAGCCCAGCCCCTCTGAGCAGGCCACAGTGATCCAGGCGTCCAGGCGCCCCAGGGACTGTCATTTGAGTCTCCAAATACTCCCTGCAGGCCTTTTCCACTTGTCAAGGCTTGGGGCTGGGGGAGGGCGGAGGTGGGCGGCGCTCAGGAGAAGCATGCCTGCCTGCCTGCCTGTCAGGGGAGAAGGCTGGTGTCCTGAGGGCACGTGCTAACGGCTCTGTCTCTCTCTCTGTCCCCTACACAGGGCCTGGAGCAGTCATTGATGGTGTAAACTCGGCCTCTAGAGCGCTGGCTTGTCTCTGGCTGTCAGGGACCCTCTTTGCCCACTTCTTCATCAAGTTTTGATAAGAAATCATAGGTCCTCTGAGCAACGCCTGCTTCTCCATATCACAGACTTTTATCTGCATTGCGGAGGGCAAACCAGTTGGGCTTCTTTTTATTTGTTTCTGTTATTCTTCTTGATTTTTTTCTTTTTTTGCTGTTTTTTTCTTTTTATTTGTTTGTTTGTTTGCTTTTGTTTATTTGCCTTTTTTCCCAGTTCGAATGAGTGGGGTTGGAGGGTGGGGTGGGCAGGATTCTACCATGTGTGGGATAATCATTCACTGGTGTGTCCAAAAATGAGATCAGCTCCTGCTACCTTGGCCCTTCCCTTTCCTCTGCGTCTCTCCCTGTCATCATTACCACCAACCTCTCCAACACACAAAAAACATAGTTCCATTTGGGCCAAAATTGTGCCTCATGAAAAACACCCTGAATACACAACCCGACTTAATGTAGTCCCCAGCAAGAGTTGCAGCCAAGTGTCCTATTACCTGTGTCTTTCAAGCTTTGGATCATCTTCCCAATTATAATGTACATATCCCTCCCTATGTTTATTACTGTCTAATTCCATTAGGGTGCACATCTTTTCTTTCAGCTATATCACTATATCCATATCTAGTATAGATATAGATATATGTAGATGATCTTGCCATCTTCTGTAGCCACTCTGCCCTATTCATTTCTCCTATCAGATACAGGGATTAGAGGTTAGGGGCTATGCATGCAACCCCAAACTAAAAATTTAGAAGTCAAGTGACAAAAAAAGGGGGAGGCACGTTAAAGATAGTACTTCTCTTTTTAAAAAAGTGCTATTCAACTCATAGAAGTGATTGATAGATGGCTGATTATTTACGTTTTATCAAGCTATCTATCAAAGTAATCATATGTTTATCCATCTACTCAATTGTCTGATTTATCCTCCATCCAATGATCTACCCACCTGTCTTCCTCTCTAGCAATCTATTTACTGTATTTACCAATCTATCAATGTAATTGTCTAACACTTCTTTCTATTTCTTTCCCCGCTACTCACTATCCATTCATCACCGTATTAATCTCTAATCATATTGTGTCTATCCCACTGTATTCATTTCTCCTCTACCATCAGCAGGCATTGGCATCTTTATAATTACCTATTAACTCCTCATGGGAAAGCCAATGATCTCACAGGCTAACAACATGAAAAAGCAATACCCTGTGTCATGGACTCTTTAAAATCCAGTATCCTATCCACCCAAGGTAGACGCTAACAGATGGACCAAAGTAGCAATCTAATGATCAGTCACTAGCTGTTCCCAGAAGAGACTGTATTTTCTCAAACATCTCCTTGTGAAGCAGCTCAGCCCTGGAAAAGTCTTGATTAGCACTGTGATTCTCCTTTCACGCTTGAAGGACGAAGGTACCAAACTTCATGCTTCTCTCAGCCCTTCAAGAAAGTGCATGTCAGGAACCTATGGGACCTACTCCATGGCTGCCTTTCCTTAATAGCAAGAACATAAAAGCAAAAAGCTCCATATCTGTTTCTGCAATGTGGAGTGAATGGTCCACCCGTCTGAGTGTGATGGCTTCAAGCTAGTGTCTCCTCTGCGCTCCAAGTCTGGTTGAATCTGTTTGAAAACTAGCCAGTAAATAGCTGATGGAGGCCAATTACGTGGTGGGTGTATTGACAACTCTGGTATTTGTTTCCGGAAGCTCTTCTGAGCTGAGGGCACTTGAGCAACTGACTTAATTTTCAAGCACTTGATTAACACAACACTGCAAACAGGAGGGGGAAGTGTAAGTGACACACTCTCTCTGATGCAGGCTGCTTCTCCAGTGGATTTGGGGGAGGACGTCCACAGCCCCCCATGTTCACAGCAGACCCAGCATACGAGGAAGGGCTGACCTGATCTTGCTGCATCGTCCGCTGGGCCAAGGAAGACTTACCCTGCAAGGTGCCTGGGATTCAGAAGAAAGACATTGAAGACCACACAGGGTTTGCTGCAGGGACTGACTACTGAGAGGCTGAGAAAGTGACATTAACAATGACTTTCTCACAGACCTTCCCTGCCTCAGTTGGAAAACCTTTTCAATTCCTCAGTCTAAAATACAAAAAATATGAGCACCATAGAGATGCATTTCTTTACGCTTAATTGATCTTCTATCTCCAGTTATCAGTGCCCTCTTTGTTCCTGTTCATTACACTACATGACCAGAACATCTGCAATGGGGAACTGCATTCATAGATAGCTACACACACACATACACAGACGTACGAACGTAGGTTGCCTTGGCACACAACAAGCTGAGCACTGTCTTAAGAGGTAGAGCTGGTGTGAGTGCAATTAATATTACATTTGCCAGCTGTAAACAGACATCTGCATTTCCTAGTGAGCTGCCAGGAGCCAGATTCTGGGAACATAAATGATGTGCCAAAAGCAGTGTACCGATTCCAAGTTCCAGGGATGATCTCGAGCAGGCGCAGAATCAGAAATAAAGGTCGGGCATAAACGTTCCAGATCTGTCACCACATTGAGCACCTGGAGTCCGGCTGGTGTCAGGCAGCGTAGGAGAATTCACTGTATCATCTGAGTGTGCTACTGACAATAAA